TTCTGTTTCACCCCCTTTATAAACGTTTGCAATAAACGTTTAGTTGAAGTTAAGCTGACAAGGACTTGAAAAATTACAGGCCGATCAGCTTGCTCTCTGTAGTATACAAGCTATTTACAAAGGTAATTGCTAACAGAGTAAAGAAAACATTAGAATTCAATCAACCAAAGGAACAAGCAAGATTTCGAACAGGCTACTCAACAATCGACCACATTCATACTATCAATCAGGTAATAGAGAAATGCTCAGAATATAACCAATCACTATACATAGCCTTCATAGACTATGAGCAGGCATTTGATTCAGGAGAAATATCAGCAGTCATGCAGATACTGCGGAATCAGGGCGTCGATGAAGTATATATAAACATCCTGGAAGAAATCTACGGGGGTCAACTGCTACTATAGTGCTTCATAAAGAAAGCAACAGAATACCAATCAAGAAGGGTGTAAGGCTGGGGGACACAATCTCCCCAATGCTATTTACCGCGTGCTTACAGGAGGGTTTCAGAAGCCTAGAATGGGAACAGTTAGGGATGTGAGTTAATGGAGAGTACCTTAGTAATCTGCGCTTCACTGATGACATTGCATTGCTGAGTTACTCAGGGGACAAATTGCTACTCATGATTATGGAGTTAGACAAGGAGAGCAGAAAGGTGGGTTTTAAAATTAATCTGCAGAAAACTAAAGTAATGTACACCAACCTCGGAAGAGAGCAGCGCTTCGAGATAGGTAGGTAATAGTGCACTTCAAGTTGTAAAAGACTATGTCTACTTAGGGCAGGTAGTAACCGTGGAGCCGAACCACGAGATTGAAGTAACTAGAAGAATAAGAATGGGGTGGAGAACATTTGGCAAGCACTCTCAAATTATGACAGGCAGATTGCCACTGTCCCTCAAGAGGAAGGTATATAACAGCTCTATCTTGCCGGTACTTAGCTACGGAGCAGAAAGCTGGAGACTTACAAAGAGGGTTCAGCTTAAATTGAGGACGACGCAGCGGACAATGGAAAGAAAAATGGTAGGTGTAACCTTAAGAGACAAGAAGAGAGCAGAGTGGATTAGGGAACAAATGGGGGTTAAGGATACTGCCACAGAGACTGTTTACACTATCCGACATTATGAAGAATCAGCGTCCACAGTTTTGTGCGCACTCCTGCTTGTGGCCGCACGACTCATGCCTCTTGTTCACGGGCACGAGTCAGTGTGGGTTGGAGCTGCGAAGAAGGAGAAGGTGCGTTGGCAGATGAACAGTTTTTGTTTTGGGAACCCTCTAGCGGACTCTTCTATCTTTCTGCACATAATTTTCAGGGCACAAGTTCGCCCATAATAAACTAGTTTTTGACGTTTCTTCTCTTGCACCCGTTACAATATCATAGTTGAAATCAAGAAGATAAAATGGACATGGGCCGTGCATGTAGCGTGTAGACAGGATAACCGCTGGTCATTAAGGGTAACTAACTGGATTCCCAGAGAAGGCAAGCGAGTTAGGGGGAGACAGAAGGTTAGGTGGGCAGATGAGATTAAGAAGTTTGCGGGTATAAATTGGCAGCAGCAAGCACAGGACCGGGTTAACTGGCGGAACATGGGAGAGGCCTTTGTCCTGCAGTGGATGTAGTCAGGCTGATGATGAAGAAGTTAAGCGCTTGTGTTGTATGTTCTGTGTAATAGTGGCTGTGCTTCCTACCAAGAAAGAAAGAAAAGAAAGATCAAATAACAGGCTTCCTAAAATCTGCTTGCACTGGTGACTGAACACACTTCTGTACACCAGGGGACTGTCTCGAGCTGTGTTCCTGGCATATACATTTGAACCCTTTTATAAGAGACAAATGGGTATAAGAGACACCAGCGTGTCTGTAGTAAGGCAACGTTCTGTCCGGCGTTGCATTAGTCAGTGTTGCCAGACTGCTGCCAGATTTGGTGCCGAAATTTGCCTCTGTATTTGCGCTTTCCTTGTGAGGGCTCTGTGTCGTCTGCGGTGCATTTTGCAAGTGCGACGTTGGCCGTTATAATTAACGAAATGAACGACGTGTAGCAGAAGTCAGGGCGCATTGCGTTGCTGTGTGTGCTGCTGGGCAATCAAGAGGTCGGTCTTGATCGTGCCTCAAAATTGGGGAATCGACGACGCGTCGTCTGCCGCGCCATTCGCTAGTGCGTGTGCGACGTTGTTTGTTCGCGAACGCATGGGTGGTGTTGGTCGTTTTTTTTAACGGAATGAATGGTGCATTGCAGAAGTCAAAGCGCGGTCTGATGCTGTGTGCGCAGTTGTGCAATTAAGAGCTCGATCTTCATCGTGTCTCAGCATTAGGGAATAAACGCGCAACAATGCATATGAGTACACGAGGGGAACTGAATATCAAGCTGAGAATCCCGAAACACTTAGTAATTGAAATTTTGGTCATTGGTGCTTATTGTGGGTTGGGCCCTGCAGGCGACGGCAGCTCGCCAAGTGGGGTCGCATTTCCAGGTACGCGCGAGATGCCCTTAGTTTGCTCCAGCAGTGGTGAAAAAGCAGCCTTCTGGGTGTATATAGCTGTAGCATATACGACTATCCAGCCCTGATGTTTATTCTTCATATGTACATGAGTCCGAAGGATATGGCTTGTGCTGACTGAGCTAGGAGGAGGGTAGCGTCCCCGTCGCCACGCATGGTCAACGCGGAATGATCAGCTGTGCAGAGAGCTGGACTCCCGACTTCTGAGATATGATCGGACGTGATCAGAAAATGGAAGCGCACCGTCTGCTGTGACGCTATTTGGTTTTCCTAGAAAACAGCGTCCTTGTGCGCAGTCAACTAGCTACGCACAGCTGCGGAGATATGCCAAGCTGTGGGGACATGGGTCCGACGTATATTGAAATGCGACATACAAATCCAGTTCCCCTTGATTGTGTACTCGTACGCGCCTTCATTCCTTAATTCTGAAACACTGTCGAGACCAACCTCTTAATTGCACAGCTGCACACACAACAAGAGAACGCGCCTGAACTTCTGCAATGCACTATTCATTCTGTAAACTTAAACGGCCAATGTCGCACAAGCACTCAGAAAAAGCACCGTGGACGACACAGAGCCCTCTCGAGAAAGGCACAACTACAGGGGCAAATTTCTCTGCCAAATTTGGCAGCAGTCTGGCAACACTGACCCTGAAAGTCTGTAATCGACTTAAGCAACACCAAAAAAAAAAAAAACCTTGCCTACAGTAACATACGGGTGGATAAGAAAATGCATACAAGGTACGCTGCTTGTAAGAGACATTTTATGTAAAAGAAAAGAACTGCTGTTTAGAGCATGCCTCTCATACACTCATAAAGGGGTTTGACAGTAATTGCGAGAGCTTGATGGCAAAGGAAGCACTTTCTCCGTCATAAGGCAGATTAGATTAGTCTTTAGATATCCATTTCAACCAAAGTTACTTGAACTGAACCCTTTTTATTTCGGTCATATCATTCATGCTGCTCTTTCAAAAGAGCATAGGTTAAAGGGACATTGAAGCGGTTTTGCATTCGCGAATTTATTCCGAATTCGGTATCTATGGCCTCATACAACATGGCTATGACGTTTTTCTTTAGTTTTTTGAGTTAGTTGACGAGCACGCTCTTACCACAGCCGTGATCAGCTTACTGTGCTGCCTGCTTCCACGATGCTAACTTCGAATCTCGGTGGAAAGAGCGGATCGCGAGCCGTTACGCAGACACCGTTCATCGCAGTTATGCTCGATCGGAGAACCAGTAGGCTGCGATCTCCCTGTTGCAGAACAGCTTGTAATGGCGCCTTTAAGGAATATCTATCAGATTCAGTCTTGCTTGCCAACCATGTAACACAGGCGCTTTATGTGGATTCTGGCTCGGGTAATAATTTTTTAATCAAAATCCAGAATCATCAATGCATTGCTGTAACAAGCACTCATATTATGATCCAGACAACATTTAATTGCTACCATAGCACTCGATAACTGTGGAATGCCAGCACCTGAAGTATAATCGTAGTCCAAGCTGTCCATGCAGCAGCATTTAATCCCAAAGGCTTTCTCCATTTTGATGATTGCTTGTTTGACACTGACTCATCGCATGCTTCTTGTTCGCTGTGAAGGGCGATACTGACTGCATCAACAACGCTGCCCTCTGAGCAGTTAAATCCATGATCACTGATGTTTCCTTACGGTGGTTGGGCGGACAGTGCTGATACATGGCAAAAAGCCAGTGCCGATGCTGCTGTTTCTTAACGGATTTAATATTTACAGTTCGACTTATTATTTGTATCAGTTTACTATAGTGAAATTAAGCACTGACATGCATCTTATACGTACCAGTCTGTGTTTCCGATGTCGGTGAAGGTGGCTGGTCGTGACTCGCTTTCCTGTGCCACCTGGGTGCTGACATCGTCTTCGGTCGTCGCTCTTATATTAGCGACGGGCTCGAACATGTACAGATAGATGTACAGCGAACTCATTACAACTCCCACAGTTTGTCATACTAATAACTACCCGATTTCAAGAGATGGCCCGGCATCGCCTTCCCGCGAGTGCAGTCAGCTGTCCTCATCTTCCTGACAATCATGTCACGGAGCTTCGACTAATCACAGCAGCGGCGAGACTCGCGATGGCGGTAGCGGTGCCTGTTGCTTGTTTTTGGCAAAATAAAGTTATTTGCGTTGGTTTATGCAAATTTTCTACTTGATTTTTGAGTTTGCCCTACGAAATTGTGCATCACGTCACAACCTCATTTTCTTTTGAAGTGTTTCAGTGTCCCTGTAACGCTTGACAATTTTTTGATTGTAAGAGAAAACTGAGATTGCTCATGCATGATGTTGTGATGGCATACTTCAGGTTGCTGGGAAATGCCTCGGCACGCTTAAAGAACTCTTACTACATACATCTCACCTGTAATTTGAATACTTGTGCCTTGACAGAGTATTTACCAGTGACGCTTTAACATTTTGAAAGTGGGCTAAAACAGATTTTGTGCAACGTAGCTTTGTTCTTACTATATCTGTTTTTACTAGGAAACAAAACAAGTACGCCACCACTCGAAAGTGCTGAAGAAATATGGAAAAGGCAAGATATTAGGGAAAAGGCGCAGGGAGGATTCGGACTCTGAGACTGATGAAGAAGATGAACTAGTGCCTCGCAGGCGGCTCCAGGAAGCAGAGGACGAGATTGCCGAGCTTGAAGGAAGACTGCGAGTTTCGAGGGAGAGGCTACACGAAGAGCGGCAGCGTAACATCAAACTACAAAACCTTCTTGAACATAAGATCGGTAAGCAGCGATTCCGTTTTTCTTCGGCACGTCCTTCATTCGATTCTTATTTCTCAGTCTAGAGTTTTCTAGTGAGGGTGTCCTGGCCGTTACCTTATTTTTTTCAAGGTGGTTGTAAATGTACATGTCTTTTCTGTTGTGAAGGCGAAATTTGTGTCTCATCCAACGCAGCTCTTGCAAAATGCGGTGCACAGTACCAAAACCACCATGACCTGAAAAATTCAATAAAAATTCATGTTTGAGCTGGAATTCAGCCAAGGTCTTCTGAAAGGAGTCAGGTGTTTTAGTGCAGAGACGTACCAGTACTTCACACCACTTTGGAGAAACGCCTCATGCAGTCATGTACAGCAAAGAGTTATGTTAGCTGGAATCGAGCCCAGGTTTTCTGTGCGACAGTCGGGCGTTTTACCACAGAGTCATACCAGTACTTCACACCTCTTTGGAGGAATAGAGAGGAAAGGCGGGGAGGTTAACCAAGCTTGGCTCGGTTGACTACCCTACACTTGGGGTGGGGGAAAGGAGGACTAATAGAAAGGAAAGAGAAAAGAAGAGGAGTAAGAAAGAGAGTGATGAATAGTGAGCTCGAAACTACACAGCACAATCTCACGCTGTTCTTTCACAAACGCTCGTGAGGTATGGTAGTCCTTAAGAAGTACAAGAGGGCTTTCATGGCTTTGCGCATATGCGAAACTGTCGGCCAAGGTTTCAGGATCTTCTTTTCTGTAAGTGGTCGTAAATCCAGCTGACAGAGCTTAGCTTCCATAATACATCATTCAGACTGGTATGCTGGGCAGTGGCATAAAATGTGCTCAAGCGTCTCCTCGCTGGCGCAGATGTTACATGCTGAAGCACCCCATGCAGTCATTTGCGGCAAAGAGTTATGTTAGCTGGAATCGATCCCAGGTTTTCTGTGCGACAGTCAGGCGTTTTACCACAGAGCCATGCCAGTACTTCACACCACTTTGGAGAAACGCCCCATGCAGTCGTGTAGGGCAAAAAGCAAAGACCAAAGATTCGAACACCAAGCAAGAAGAGAAAAGGCAAAAAAAAGTACGGACGGCAGAATTTTACAATGCTAGATTATATTCACAACAGCATCTTTGAAAAAAAAACTGGATCGCGTATATTTACTACCGATGATGACAGATTACTTCAGTCGACTGACGTTTTCAGAAGAAATGATTGTGCGTACGAGACAGTGTTAGAAAACGAGACCTTGACTTTTCCTATAAGCAGATGTGAGTTATGGTTGGTGAACGAAGAGTGGCATTGTGTTGATATATTTTATGAAAAAGTGAAATGCGAGCTTGCTTCCGGCGAACGACAAGTAGTGGGATGTTAAGAGCTTTAATTTCTGTTACGCTTCCTGTACCGTGATAGTTCGTTAGTATCAAAAGACAGTGATTTTTCACGGCACCATTCGTGTCAATATGGATTGATACGGATCCCAAATCGATGATGTATACTCTAGCTGAGGACGAATATGTGTGGTGTAGAGCAGTAATTTTAGTAACGATGGAGCGAGAAAATGATTTCTTTTGATGTATACCAGAATACTGTTACCTCGGGATATTATGGGTTGGACGTGACGTTTCCATGAGAAATCGTTAGTTATGGGGATGGATGATAAGGGTATGATATGGCAGATTCGAAATGGAGTTATTTATGACATATGCATTACCTGCGAAGTCTCTCGGATTTCGACCATTTCTTTCGTTTGTGCGGCTGTCATGAAAATCTTCCAGTAATTGTAATTTTTGTGCATGATCTGCCCGCATTGACAAAAATGCAGCTCAATCCGCTCCAGGCCTTTCGCACACCCACCTCATAAACGAGTTTAGGAGGCTTTCATTTAAATTTACACTTGATGCGACCCCGCGGCAGATACAAATTCGTGAAATTCCCCAGCAAAATCCGCTCTGACCACAAGGGCCAAAATTAGAATGTTCTGAACACTTTTTATGATTCCAGTGGGGAATATGAATTTTAGTACCGAAACGGTCGAACAAAGGCCGAGAGCAGTGTGCTCGAAGCTTCGGAAGTGCGTGTGCGACTAGCACGTGTACTCTCCTCTACAGTGTATGTGATTGTCGTTGCCACAATCTTTGTGGACGAAACTGCGGTCATTCTTTACACAATTATATATAACAACAACGTAACTTACAGAACTCCGAAAGTGTCGTGCATCCAACGCTTGATCAGTCAAAGCAATGCTGCTTTTCGCAAACTCTGTGGACAAAACCATGACAGATGTGATCGTAGATAGCCTAAAATGACTTAGTTTTATGCTATCTTGTGCGCGTCGCTGTCATATATCGTATCTTGTGCGATTGCGATATATGAGGTTTGAGGGCATGCAGCAAACGCAGCGGTAGATTAAAGGCAGTAAAGACTTTAAAAAGCCTAGAAGCATGCCTAGAAGCGTTTTTGCGTTCCTGTCTAGAGAATCTAGTAGCAAGCAAAACATTGACCTACATTTTCGTTGCAGCCAGCTGTGCCCTCGCGTCTGTTCACGCTTGTCCCAGGAAGGCATACACGATTTGTTTTGACAGAAATAGATGTTGCTTGTTGTTTTGATAATGCGAAAGTTTGGGAGTATTTGCGCTCTTTCTTTGAAACTATCACCTTAGCGGGAAACCCTCCGTCTGTTTGACCTCTCCAAGCCATCATGACATCACAGCGCCGATGTTCGTGCTTGCGATTGGGACCCCCCCTCCCCCCTGATTTACGTTATGATTTTTTTCGTGGCAAAATGAAAAAAAATGGGGAAAATAATTCAGCGCAATGCCGTCCTTTCCTGTTGCGAAAATCTCCTGATTCAGAATCTTTGAACTTAGCAGATGTGCATATGTTGGACATGCTGCGTCAAAGTGTGAAACTCGCGTGTATTTGTATTTCTTAGTATTGAGCTTCATGCGCCAAGTGACCCACCAGTTGTGGGCGTGCTTCAGATCAGACTGTAGATTAGTAACATCATAGGTAGTAGTTATTGTGCAATATTTAACACAGTCATCAACAAATAAAAAAATATGATTGGGTAGAAGAGGACCCAGAACGGACCCCTGAGGAACGTCAGCTTTAACAGGGGCCATATCAGACACACTATCATTTGGGGCGACAAATTGATGCTGAGGCAGAAGAAATGCTCGAATCCATTTAATGATTGCAGGGTCTATATTTAGTGCGCTTAGTTTATGCAAGAGAAGCTTTGTCAATGGCGTTACAGAAGTCAAGAAATATGCCGTCAATGGGAAAGCCAGAGTCAAGGTTAGAATGCGGGTGATGAGTTAATCAAAGCAGCTGTGTTTCGCAAGAGAAAGATTTGCGAAACCCATGTTGAAATTTCGAAACAAAATTATTATCTTCAAGAAAAGTAACTACACGAGTGAAAAATGACGTGCTTCATTATTTCGCATATTATTGAAGTAAAGATATTGGTCGATAGTTAAGAGGACTACAGTTGACGACTGATTTTCTTGACCCTCAAGGGACCTCAAAAACGTCTGTAATATTGGGCAGTCCGGAAAGAAAAACAAATGCACGCGAAAATGCAACTAGCCCAACTTTCGATTCTGTTGCACCTTTTTTTACAGGTATATTTCGCTGAAAGAGAGGGCAATGAACTGCTCAAGCTCACACTCTCATCTTCTCGCACGTCTGCTCACATTCATTAGACAATATACCGCTTAAAAGTATGCTCTAAGGTACGATTCTGGTGACATATTGACTGTTTCTTTATTATATGATCATTCACTGTAATCTTTAAAGGTATTTTTCTCAAAACATGATTTTCGGCGACCTGAACTTATGCAAACTGATACTCTTTTTCTAATCAATATTTTCTCATGAAGCTCTCTCTACAATTTTTTTATTAGTAGAACTGTTCATTAAAGCATAATTATTGAAAACGAGCAGCAGCTACGTATCATGGCTAATTGTGTGCAAAATCAACCTGCCAGATACGTACCAACTTCTAACATGAAAGTGTTTCATGCCTGGGTCCACTCTGCTGATGTATTTTCGTCACTGTTATTAGGTAAAATGTATACTGCCAGATAGCCAAGAAAATAAATGAGAAGGCGTAGCAGGACGTTGAACCAGCAACCTCTCGCTCCTCAGCGCGCGACATTAGCCACTTTGCCATAAAACATTTGTTGCTGAACATGTTAACGGCGAGCCGTCTATATACACCATGTACTGTTGGCAGTCTTCAGAGCTGGGCTACTTCAGCGCATTTTCGTTATCAGTCGCAAGATTGTGCCAGGGGTGGGTGTTGGGCATGCGCATCCCAACTGTCGTCGCTTCGCGCCACCCTGTGCGTTGCGATGCGTGCACACCTCCAATGGTGTGGTCAAAGTGTGTGTAACTGTTCTCTGCCATGGTCGCTCACCCGTGCGCGTGCTTATCTCGGGTATAGGACGCTTTGTACTTCTTGTGCTCCTAGTGCAAGCTTGCTTTGAAGTTGCAGTGGCTTGAGAGAGCACGAAGGTCTCTGCGCTCGCTGCCGCGGCTGCGTATGAAAGGAGCATGCTGCTCACACAGAAAGAAGAATTCTGACAATTGTTCGGGCTCGTCTGGTGTGTTTTCGTTTTGTGCGTCTTTCTTCCTGTTTGAGCAGTGTGCTTTAAGTGTCGAGCTGTGACAGTTGTTTGTCCACGCTCTTCCTGTCTATGCTTATTTCGTGCATGTTTTCTGCTCGGGTGCACGCTGCAAGATTCTAGCTGCTTGTTGTTTCTTGCGTGGCATTGCAATGTGTTGCTGTAGCACTCATTCCTTCTCCTTTGGGGCGAAACAACGCACAACAAATGCTAAACTACTACAGTGAAGACATGTTTCGCTTGGGTGTAATGCCGATTCTTAATAAGAGGAATCAGCTATGTTTTTTGTTTCTTCAGTTTTTTTGTCATGACGTGCCATAGCCTAGAGATGTGGTGATTGTGGAGGTTAAATGCACAGGGTGGTATCCTCGCTGCGTATCTGCCTAGTCGCGTTCGGATTGTACAAAAAATTGGAAGTCATGACTGCTGGTGCAACACATATTTTGGCACATTTTGATTTTCATAAATATTATTGTTGACATTTTTAGCAGTTTCATCATTCGAAACCTTAAATTTACCTAAGCCCTACAAGCCAAAACCATAATTAGGTATAACTTTTGGACGGAAACTGCAAAATCTTCTTTTTTTCCAAGGTAGTGACCTACTTTCAGGTGGCAGTGCAGAGAGTAAATTCTGGCATGCGTTACCTAACGTTCGGAAATGTTCGCAATGATCATTGATTATTTTGATAGTGATATTTTTGTGCCTGCTTGTGTAGGCCATAGTTGCAAACAGTTCTGATTGCATTTATGTGTATGTTGCACCGTGCAGATTCTATGGAGGCCTCGATCATTGCATCAGTAAAGTTGGAACTGCGTGGTACACGGCCTGCTTCACAGGTATGTGATACTCTATGCTGGTGGGAGCCAAGTTTTATTATCGTGAATTGTGTCTCGTCAGTGTTTCTATCGTTTACATTGATTTTCACATTAGGCTCAATTAAGATGCAAGCTGTCATATTTACTTGCACAATTATGGGATTTAAAAAAAAAGGGTGCACATTCAGATCTGCAATAATTACGAGGCATAAATTTTTATCGAAAAAAAAAAAATGGTTTTGAGCTTGCAGAATGTAAGCACGTCACAGGTTGGAATTCTTAAGATGGCTATCATGAATACGAAAATAAATCATGAACAAGGTATATGTTATGAATGCAGACAGAGGCGTAGCAGAGATTTTAAGCTGCCCTATTATCGTTCATGCTGTCATTTGTGTTATTACACAATGGAAGCATTGTCAATAATAATATGCAGTCGGTCACCGGATATATCAAACTTGGATATTGCCACATGTTGTTAGGCACCTACCGAAGTCTTGCGCCACTTCCTGCTCTTATGATATCTGCCACACCAACTGACAAGCCAAACGGGCCAAGCTAAACGCGCCATGCAACGCTGGCTTCACGAAGAAAAAAGGCTTGCGGTTTTTCGAAGGAGTGGCACGCAGCGAGACGCATAAAAAAGTCGTTGACGAGGTTTTTCACGAGTAAGCTCAGGACAACCTTTGTGTATTTAGTTGATGGGCACAAGTTTGCCATAAATAAATAGTTGTTTTAGCTTCCGGCGTTGTACTTGTTTGGTACAATATATCGAATTATCTGGCTATATCAAGTAGTTGAGAAATTCTTTTGAATTTCCCATGCAAAGGTATAAAGTATAGGACCGGTGCACCCGTATATCGAACTCCTGCAGACCGGGCCTCTGCTATATCGAATATTGGACCGTGCCAAAGCCTAGAAAGTAAATTTTTCTACCAAATATTTATCAACTTTTGGCCGCATTCTACCAAGTTCCAGTCTGTTTTTGTGCGCAGGTGACGAAAAGGCGGTGTTATTCCATCACGCTGATCTGGTTCGTTGCGCGGTGCTTGCGAGTGCACCGCTATGTTTGTCGCAGCCCGTGCAAGCGCTGGATGCGACAGACTTGCTGTGACGCACCTTTGTTGCTTACGATGACCACGAGAACGGACTCGAAATAGTTGCTGAAGCTGTCATTCGCGTGAAGAAAAGTCTGTAAAAGTCTATTATGGACTATTCGAAGTGATCTTCCAGCTGTTGGGCCGAAGTTAGTGGAAATAAACGTGCTTTGTTCTTTATTATTTTGCTAGTTTTTTGCCTTCCCACGGCTGTTCTTCTCTGCGCGGTGGGCTGCAGTGATGTTGGGTAGTGAGTACATTCTCTCTTGCTGGCTAGTTGTCGCTAGAAATGGATAATGGCTATAAAGAACTAGTGGTTATAACGAAGTAAATACGACTCCCCTTCAACTTCGTTGTAACGAGGTTTGACTGTATACATATGCCGAAGTGCTCCTCATAGAAAGATTATGTGCTCCAGAACTAAATTTTTACTGCTGTCAAATGCTTCTAATAGCAACATTACCTGCTTAAAAATGCTCCAGAACTAAAATTTTGCTGCTCCAAAGTGCTCAAAAAGTAAAATTTTAATGCTCCAAGATGTCCTAGTCACAAGATTACTTGCTCCAAAATGCTTCAAAACTAAAATATTACTGCTCCAAAATGCTTCAAAAGTAATACCTTACTGCTCCTAAGTGCTCCAAAACTAATATCTTACTGCTCCAAAGTGCTCCAAATCGGCAGTCCCCAGTGGGATCACTGCAGATGCGACCGTAGACGGCACAAAACAACTTGACTTTGAAGGCACGTGCCTGGCCAGTGCACGCCGATTGATAAAGGAACTACCGTTTGCTGCAACCCCCGCGCAGAAAACCGTGGTCACGGCCAGAAAATAGCGATCTGCGAGCTCTGAGGGCATGCGGCTAACGCAGCGTTAGATTAAAGGCAGTAAAAACACAAAATAGGCTAAAAGCGTTTTGGCGTTTCAGTCTGAAGAATCAAGTAATGAGCAAAGCTTTGATCTGCAGTTTTGCTGCAGCCAGCTGCGCCGTCCCGTCCGTTCACGTGTGTCCCTGGAAGACATTCGCAAATTGTTATGTGGGAAATATACTTTGCTAGTTGTTTTAATCATTTGAGACTCTCCTTCGTGGGAAACCTACCCTCGTGTGTTCGGCCACTCCAAGCCACTATAAGACCGCAACGCTGATGTTGGTGCTTGCGATTGAGACCCTTCACCCCTCTTGCCTTCCTCGATGTTTATTTATTTTTTTTTCTGGTGCCAGAAAAAGTTGCAGCAAATGATTCAGGGCAACCCCTCGCCCTTGAAGTTGGGGAAATCTCCCGGATTCAGAATCCTTGAACTTGGCAGGTACTATGAGCACGGTGCAGGGCCATTGGGGAAGGAGAAATGATGGCGTCTTGGGGGGAAAAGGGTACTCACATTACTGAATGGCTGGCCTGGGTACCTCTGACTTATTTACTAAAAGCTCTCAGTGTGCAGTGGCTCTGGCATTGAAACGCAGCGCCTACCACTTTTAGGGTGGATGCTGATGCTCTGTTCTAGCAATCACCACGGCAGTTTTTAAGGATGTGTTGTCACTGAAGCCAGCTGAGGGAAAGTGTGACAGGAAGGAAGGAGGGATGACAAAGGTTGGTAGATATGGCATGATTGGTGAGTCTCGTTGACTTACCATAAGATCGCCCCGCCGCGGTGGTGTAGTGGCTATGGTACTCGGCTGCTAACCCGCATGTCGTGGGATCGAATCTCGGCTGCGGCGGCTGCATTTCCGATGGAGGCGGAAATGTTTTAGGCCCGTGTACTCAGATTTGGGTGCACGTTAAAGAACCCCAGGTGGTCTAAATTTCCGGAGCCCTCCACTACGGCGTCTCTCATAATCATATGGTGGTTTTGGGACATTAAACCCCACATATCAATCAACATACCATAAGATCCCAAGTAGGTGCCTCCTGTCAGCAAGTTGAAATTGCTGTCATAAGGTGAAGAGGGGGTTTTCGGAATGTGATCAAAATAAACAAGCCAGCAACAATGTTGTGGTGCCAGGAAAAAAAGTTAGGAAAAGAAAGAAAACAGAGTGCACGTGGAGTTCCTCTTGTTTGTTTCATGGCACATGGCACATTACGACAGCTCACAAACACTGGAAATACTGAGGCACCGTGATGAAACCATAGAAAGCACCTCCAATGATCAGCACACACAGTAGGTCTGTAAAATAAACAAAAATATTGGATGCCTTACTTTTACAAACTACGTCTTCCTAGGTACTGTCTTCAAGTACACATCTTGAAGGCCGTGCTTATGCACGCGTAACCCTGAAAATCGTCATGGGTCCCTTGCATGAAGTCCAGGGTGAGATCAGTATGGTGGGGTGGGATGGGAATAAAAGGGGAATTATGTCTTGACGTGAAATTCTAGGGGCAGGCATCTAGAGTTGGGCTGCAAAGCAGTGTTGGATCCGATTCAAGAAGGCCAGTGTTGCATGGATGCATGATTGATGTGTGTAATGGGAGAGAAGGGTGGACCCTTTCTCGGAACGTCCAGGAAACCTGTGGTTAGCTGAGAAATGGGAGATCAAGAAGATGTAGTTGTGATAGCTAGTCTTTGGACACTTTAGGCTGATTTTTGCCATTGCCGTCATGCTCCAGATATGTATATGTATGTATATATACAAAGAGATACAAAGAAAAATAAGTAAATAAAGGCGCCTTCCAGAGATTCAAACCAGTGACCCCTCGCGCCTTAGCACACTGCATTATCGAACTAAGCCATGCTCGTTATTTATTTTTTTTACCGGGATATTCAATAGAACGCGTGTTATTATATCTATATCACTAACAGCGAGCTGTATTATATTCGAGCTCCATGCCACCGCTGCATCATGGTCGGAACGGGAAATGATCACCAACTTCACTGACTACATCTCCGGTGAGGCATTTAAGTTTTACCTGATACACATATTCGAAAACGACGAATCATGGCAAAAGATCAGAGAAGAGATGATTGCCCGTTTTAACGACTACGACAAGGACTTTCTCATTACCGGCCATCTGCATACAACCACACGCGGCCGTCACAGTCCACGCTTATTTCTCAAAGAACGTAGCTTTCCACCAGGTTTCCCTTCACGAAAGCCGGTATTTTCAAAGTTGTCGCTCCAGCACACGACACGAGACGTTGCTTACCCACCTCATGCATTTCATTTTTCGTCTCGCATACGTGGTCCACCACCCGGTTTTCTATCACGCGGCTCTTCAAGCGTTCCTGACGCTCACCGTTTGCCTCATGAGGACACCATGTTCACGATAGACGAGTTGACACACCGAGAAAATGCCCAGTCGAGCCATGCTCCTTCCGCACGGGTTCATGCATCACCGCCCGGTGCATACACACTCGACAGTCGAAGCAACACCGAAGGGTTGGGCACATCGAACGTCAGACGCTGCCATGCGCAAGAGCCTCTTGTAGTGAACAGTGCAGAAAAAGCTTCTGAAGAACTTTCTATCAACTCTGAAGCATCATCTTCATTGCCTGAATTGCATGACAACTGCTCAAAGACTACCAGCTGCCGACAGGAGACCCCATCAGGTTGTCATGAAAACCAGCGCGATGTTCAAGAAGGGCTTCCACCGCAATATGGTCCACAGCAACGTCAGCAACGCCAGCAAAAGCAAGTCCGTGAATCGCAGCCACTCCAACGGACACACCAACAAGGACGACGACGCAAAGCAAGCCTCTTAAAACAAATTCAAGAAGCGAGACAACTTCGCATAAAGGATCGGCGCCAGAAACGCATTTGGCACAAAATATCAAGACTGCGCCTAAGATTACAGCTCAGAAACCTCAGGAAACACCGAACAAGACAAGAAGTTACCAGTTCTACCATGCAAAGATTCAGACACCATCCCATTAGTTTACGACAACGGAGCCAACGCCACAGAAAACTACGAAAGAGACTGAACGTTATAATTTGTACAACGCATGAACATAGACATAATTCCTTGAACTTCAGTTCTTGTACACGCAGGCTGCAAGCACCAATTCTGTCTCAGCCGCGACACAAAATACAGCGCGTACGACAGAGGATTCGGCGCCTACGACATTCGACCTTCAAGTGCTCCAATGACTTCCAACCTTGTTCGTTCCTCGCAGCTGCTCAAGTCATGTCATGGTCAGTGCAGTTTTGCAGGACGTGGTTACTATCTCCAGAACGCCACAGCCAACCTCGCCCACCAGAACTCCCCCATTCACCGGACTGCCGCACTCATTTCTGAAGTTTTGCGAGTTTACGGAACACCACTGGGACATGAAACCAATTGTGCATTTTGACATTTGTGACTTTTCAACCTCTCCTTCTTTACTTTTTCTTGTTCGTAATTCATGCATTCTTTCAGGGGGAGGGGGAATCGTGTGACGTATGAAGCGATGGTTAATAGAGGTCGAGAAGGAAGAAGTGAAAATGGAATAAACACGGAGTATGAGCCAGGCCACGTCTCCGATTCATCATAGCGTCACATATATATATCATGTTAGTTAGAAAAACAGTCGGAGTTGGGCTTGCCTGAAAGTGCCAGTGTGATATCGCTGTGGCATAGCCACTTTCTCCACCCATCAAGGCTGTCTTTGAGTGATACTATCAATCTTGTTTAGAAAATGTCACCACAACACTGTTAGAGCCACTCGTTTTTTAGAGGGTTGATTTCATGCGACAAGGCGGTGCGGTCGAGTCTATTATTGTGGATGACTGGGTTCTTTAGATGGAGCAAAACGCACAATGGAAAGTGACCCTGTCATGGCATAGAATCCGTGATGCATTCGATAATGATTCATAAAGTGTGTTTGCAAAGAAAATCACATTCAGACTCAGCAATAACCTGTGTATTAACAAATACATTCAGCCTATTAAAAGAGCACTGGCACAAAAATTTCGCATCTTATTTTTTCTCTTTTGCAATAGGTAGCTTATGACGCATTTATCATGGCAAGAAACCTCATTTGTGCGCAACGGTTATTTATTTAGAGATATTATCCGGAGCGTCCAGTCACAGTTTTCGTTTCAAAGAGCACTGAACTGAGCAGGAGCAGTTGCGATAGCAAGGTAAACGCGGCTGGCCACGTTACCACGCAAAACTGTCACGTGGCGGCTCGAGCGGGTGCTGCATCCAGCATACGCAGACCTGCAGGCATGGAGGAAGAAATCGCAAGTAGCGCAAGCACAAGGTGCATGCTGGCAATCATCCAACAAAAGTCTTGATGTAGGCTTGTTTACACTGGCACCGTGCTGATGTCGGCATCGTGAGGGGCTCCATACCTCGCTGTTTTAGGCTATGTTTGTCCTTGATATATCGTAGATGTTGTGAATGTCTTTACAGTAATTTATCTCACTCATTGTCTTGCCTTTGAAGTTTTGTTTTGGTGGTCCCTAATCAGTCTTTCTGTTCAAATTCGGTTGCGGAGATGGCAAATACATTGTGAACCGCTCGGGGTTGTGATGACCTTGGTTTGATTTATGTGCTTCTTGTAAATTTATTAGGATTATCTTTTTGAAGCTTTCTTTTAACATTAACAGTACTGCTGCTATGGAGCACTTGTGACAGTTAAGGTGGAAAGTTGGGCTAGTTGGTATCGAGAATATTAACTAGCCTGTAATAGGTCAGGGTACTAGGGAAACAAAGACAGGGTTGAAAAGAAGAAAAACGGAGTTATACCAGGCTTTATTACGTATCCACATCCTCACAGCAAGCTCGGCGCTGCGGAGGCAACAGCGGTAAGAAAAATACTGACTAACACTTACATAAATCTGCACACTCTTCACCTGATCTACCCCACGGCGTACAGAGATATGTGCCCGTGGTGTGGAGCCACCCCAACACTCTTTCACATCACGTGGGAGTGTGCAGAGCACGACGAAGAGCACGACACCACTGGCACGTGGGAGGAATGGGAGGCGCTGCTGTCTAGCCCGCCCCAGTGGATCAGCTGCGACTGATCCAAAGAGCTGAACGGATGGCTCGCGCCAGTGGGGCCCTGGAATAGGGGCACTACCCTGCCGGAGAGACTTCGCTCTCCACCCCGTATATTCTTCGGGGCACTGGAGTTCAAGCCTGTCTGGATTATGTATATAATAAAGTTTTGTACTACTACTACTACTACTACTACATAGATCCTTCTAGTATATGCAGGCACAAATTGGTGGCGCATGTGCACAAGGGTACCATTGAAGTCAGAAATAGATCGCAGTGCCCGTTGTATCAACTTCTACGCAGATGCTCCTTGTCAGAGTGTGCCAGCGAGGGACTGCTGCCAGTGTCTATATCTTACGTGAAGCAGCTCTCTCACCACTTGAAAAAGATTGCGGAGAAGTGCGGCGCGCCCATTAATTTTATGGTGCCGAACAAGCTTGCATGCGTGTGTCGTGTTGAATGAGCAAAGCCCAGATGGGGCACAGTAAGTGACCTATGCCACCCGTTTTATTTAGTGCAGAAAGGCATTGATGTACATGGTTTTCCTGTCTTGCGGTCAATGTTGTATCGACCAAACTAGCTGGTGTATAAATGTAAGGTTGCAGGAGCATGGAGCGGCACCTTGTAGACCATTGTGGAAGATGCTCGTGTCACCCGCACTACAAAAAAACCGCAGTGCTGTGCTGGTTTGCAATGCTGGGGGAGAGAGAAACTTAAGAACCTTTTATCATTAAAAAATAATAATAAAGCTTATGCGTGTGTAAGCAGTTCCTCGCTGTCACTGTGACAAGGAGCTGTATTATCTGTGTGGAAATTGGTACCACAGGGATGGAAATGTATTTCTCAGTTCAATTTTACACTTGTGTGCATGTGGTCACCAATTAGTATTTCTATATGATTGAATGTTCTTCGTAATAAAGTTTAGTTCAAGTGTAGCGCAGTTTCATGGTTCTTCCTCTCGTCCCTGTCCCTTATTTGGCTAGTACCGCGACACAAATTTGCATTCAAGAAAGAAATATGCCTGCAGCTTCTCCCATTCTTAAAATGGCTCAAGCAAAACAGTGAGAGCGCTGGGCCAGTGTGTTGCTGCATTGAATGTTGTGACATGGGCAAACCACAGACATGCTTGCTTTAGTAGGCTTGAAGATAGGACTCCTAATAGTAGTGGTCACCAAGTTTCCAACTGTCGTCGAATCTCGTGCGAACTTGTGAAACGCAACTTCAGCTGCTGCTGCAGCCGAATGCTGCGCAGAGCTACTCATGGTGGGCCCACTTAAACACGGTGCATAGGCTGTTGCAAAGGCCGTAGCTCTATTGGTATGGTAAGAATCTCGAGGGAGTGAACAGGACGCTGCGCCCATGAGCAAATCGCTGCAAATCCCACCATGGACGCTCTCTTTAATGGTAGCATAGTGGCAGGTAAAGGCGCAAACCAATGCAGCGATCATCACTCCTCTCTATGATGCCGCTTCACCCTGTTTCTCTCTCTCTGCCAACCTGCTCTCCTACACTCTGTGTGCGTTGACAGTTATCGTGCACTCTGGACCCCATTCTCCGATTTTTTCACATTTCCCTAAACAGTCGCTCCCTGTGTGAGAAGCATTCTTGCTGCTGAAGTTTGAGTTAATCTCTGCACAAAAAATTACATCGGTGTATTATAAAAGGTAAACATTGAGAATTACCGATACATTTAAAAATTGAGAATTACTGTATATAGTGTTTTTTTAACATTAGGGGTGTTCCAATCACTGAGGACCCTCAATGCCCCAATGGGAACAGGCTATTGGGCAATCAGCTTAGTTTCTTTCATATTTCTTTTGCTAATGCTTATTGGTCTGTGGCTTACAGAATTGGCAACAGGAGTCCCCTGCAGTGAGGAAGAAACTATATCAGCTGTTTGCCCGGAATAAGGTATGTATCTCTGATAGAGCAAATTCTAGTTGTTTTTTTTGATGCCGTGAAAAACGGTATAGGGAACATTGAGTAAATTATGATATAGTTGGATTGCTGAGCGTGCATAAAGGACCTGACACATATAGGGGTGTTTCACATAACTCGAATCAAATATTCACAATATGAGAGAGTAACAGTAACTGAATAAAACCAACAACATATGTGGGGCTGGTTTCGGTATTTTTATGTTGTGCTTGATTGGTTAATGAACTATTATGAAAAATACAAAATTTTAAAATTTTATGGCCATGTGCATTGTGTTACATTGTTGAGGGCAATCCAAAACAAGTGATCCTTGTTCTTTTATTTGGGGGGGGGGGGGGGGGGGGTAGATGTGCATGTTGCTATGTTGATTTTTTTTTTGATAAAACTGTGAAATTAACAGTAAAACCATAAGAGTGCACTTCGCACTCAAACGTGTACACCAATGTTTATTGCTAGGGATAAGCTAATGGTGAACCTTGGGCTGAAAGTGAACGTCAAGGGAATAGTGATTTGGTAGAATAATTATGAATTGAATAGTTTCGATAGTACATGTGGCGAGTTTTATGGAAAGGAAAGCGTTTTTGTTATGACCAAGCCAACTTTTTAAGAACAAGAACTAGGCTTATGTTAATGCCACCTTATATATTTGAAGCTAATTTTAATTGTACCAGGATTTGAGCTGTGGCAAGCTGCAAGTTATGAGGAGTATAATGCGTGCATTATGTTTTGAACTCTGCCACAGTTAGCTGACATGAGCTGGCATTACTTGCTTGTAAATAAAAATTCAAGAAAACAACTGCACGCAGGTAATACGTAGTGTTTGGGGATTGAAGCATGACAACTGAAGGCTAGATAATACATGCTTAATATTTATTGAAATATGGTGCAGGACACTGATAGCTTGTTACATTTTATGTTGGAAAAGAGATGGCATGTTTCCGAGAGGTGTAAAAATACTCATGTTAAGTCAAGCAAAGGCATACTGCTGGTCGATGAAATAGGAAGGGCAGGGAATGCCTACGTGCATAGAATGGCCTGTGTGCTACAGCCCCAGATGCTGGCGCAAGCTATTGCGGAAGCAATATTTTCAGGCTCTGCTGACGAAATTCGCTGTCCCTATAAGCCTGTGCAGCGCATCTTATGCTTTTATTGTGATAGCAATTATATGGACACTCTCGGCTGGATTTTGCCGCCGACGTCGCCGTCACTGACCGTATATGTATACGTATCTATATATATATATTGTGATGTAACGGTGAAGGCAACCTTTATTAGGCCCAGAAGACACGATGAAGTGACCACGCCCAAGGCACAGAACTCAGACAAGCCAAGTCCCCACAGCAGAAGAAGATGACGACCACACATGATGATGAATATGTGTAAAGATAGATGATGTGCTTAATGAATGCCTACACTAACTTCCCCCTCACGTGAAAGTGGTCATCCTGACCGCAGTTCTTGGCCCCATTTTAAAGCGAAGATGAAAGCCGTATGAAAGTCTTCATGCGGGATACGTGGACTATTTCTGCTGCCCTGTAGCGGCGGTCCGTCGGAAGAAGAACAGGTGCCATGCGATAATTCACAGGAGACGTTTGCTCCAAGACAGTGTAGGGGCCAATAAAACGTAATTGAAACTTCTCGCACAGTCCGGAAGTGCGAATGGGTGTAAGAAGGAGGACTTCGTTGCCAGGGCTGAAAGACACGGCACGATGAGAGGCATCATATTCAAGCGTGCGATCCTGTTGCTTGGCTTTAGTGTTGACGCGAGCCAGCTGGCGGCAATGAAGTAGACGAGACACGTATTCTTCACTTGAAGATGAACATGGTTTGACAGGCGCAGAGAAGAACGAAACATCGAGGAAAGAAGAGGGGAAGCGACCGTGGACGAGGTAGAACGGCGAGTAACCGGTTGTGTGCTGTACAGAGGTATTATACGCAAAAGTGACAAATGGCAAAATGGTGTCCCAGTTTCTGTGGTCGGGTTCGATATACATCGCAATCATATCTGACAGTGTACGATGAAAGCGCTCAGTCAGGCCGTTCGTCTGAGGATGGTAACTGAAACTTGTTTTGTGTGTAGTGCCAGCTGCCTTGAGCACTTCTTCGACAAGTGCTGAAAGAAATACTCTTCCACGGTCGCTCAGGATTACACGAGGAGCTCCGTGTCAAAGGATTACTGCTCGAAGGATGAAGTCGGCCACTTCCGAAGCTGATGCAGAAGGCACGGGAGCTGTTTTGGCGTAGCGGGTCAGGTGGTCGACAGCTGTAACTATCCATCGATTGCCTGTGACAGTCATAGGAAGCGGACCATACAGGTCAATGCCAACTACCTCGAATGGTTGCAGGGGAAACTGGAGCGGTTGTAATTGTCCACTTCGAGTTGATGTAGGTAGCTTGCGACGCTGACAAAGGGCGGATGAGGCAACGTACTTCGCGACACAGGGGGACAAGCCCAGCCAGTAGTAGTGACATCTTATGCGGTCATACATTTTCTGGAAGCCCATGTGTTCAGCAGACATGTCGTCGTGATTTGTCTTGAGGACTTGAGCCCGAAGAGAGCGAGGTAGAACGGGCACCCAGCGTTGACCATCAGGGTGGTAGATATGACGGTACAGGACGTGGTTGTTGAGCTTGAATTGCGTCAGCTGTCGGCGAAGACGGGCGTTAGGGGGCCGGCAAGTCCCGTCAAGGCGGTCCATGATGCGGCGACAGTAAGGAAGGGTCAGCACGTTGGTGAGATAAGAACAAACCACACTCGCTTGGAGAAGTTGGGTCCAAAGTAGTTAATGACGAAACATGTAGGGAAGAGACGGCCGAAAGCTTCTCGTGTGCGGCAGTGGCGGGTTTGTTAAGTGGCTCCGAAGAGAGCGGGCAACGCGAAAGTGCGTCGGCGTCTTGATGCTTGTTTCCCGACTTGTATGTTATAGTGAAGTCGTATTCTTGTAAGCGAAGAATCCAGCGACCAAGGCGGCCGGACAAGTTCTTGATTGTCGAGAGCCAGCACAAGGCGTGATGGTCCGTAACCACAGTAAAGTGGCGGCCGTGGAGATAAGGTCGAAACTTTTGTATCGACCATACGACCGCTAGGCACTCCTGTTCGGTGATGGTATAATTCTTTTCAGCAGGGGTCAGTGCACGGCTCGCTGTAGGAGAATTCCACTAATGCCTCGACCACTAGCGCCTGTATGCAGGACCGTAGGCGCGGTTTCGTCGAAATGGCAGAGGACTGGTTCGGATGTGAGTGCACACTTCAGTTGGGCAAACGCGCTTCACATTCAGGAGACCACTCAAAGGCGACACCTGATCCGAGCAACTTGTGCAATGGTGAAGCTATTGAGGCGAAGTCTCAAATGAATCGGCGAAAATAAGAAGCGAGGTTGAGGAAACTGCGCAAATCTTTGGCTTTTTCAGGGCGCGGGAAGTGTTGGACAGCGGAAATCTTGTCAGGATCGGGACGAATACCGTCCTTGCTTACAACAAGGCCTAACACTTTAATCGTCTTGCTCGCAAAACGGCACTTCTTGGTGTTCAGCTGAAGGCCTGCGTTTGCAAGGCACGTAAGAACTTCGTCCAGTCGTTGCAAGTGCTGAGGGAAGGTTGACGAGAAAATAACGATATCGTCTAAATAGCACAAGCAAGTCTTCCACTTCAAGCCTCGTAAAACTGTGTCGATCATCCGCTCGAATGTTGCTAGAGCATTGCAAAAGCCGAATGGCATGACGTTGAATTCATACAGCCCATCTGGTGTTGAAAACGCTGTCTTTTCTTTGTCATCCTCGTGCATGGGTATTTGCCAGTAACCTGAACGCAGGTCTAGGCTTGAGAAGTATTCAGCACCTTGCAGTGAATTCAAAGCATCGTCTATGCGCGTCATGGGGTAAACATCCTTGTGGGTAATCTTATTAAGTGCTCTGTAGTCCACGCAAAATCGCACGGAGCCATCTTTTTTCCTTACTAAAACAACAGGGGATTACCAAGGACTCGCGGAGGGACGTATAATGTTCCGTTGCAGCATATCGGCTACATTTTGTTCAGTGATCTCACGCTCGGATGAAGAGATGCGATACGGTCGACGGCGTACGATGGAAGTGCCATCGGTCTGGATACGATGCCTAATAATGGACGTCTGTCCCAGAGATGAGGAATGGGCATCAAACTATCTCCTATGCTTTTGTAGCAAGGCAAGCAACTCATCTGTCTGTGAAGATGTCAGTTCTAGACTAATAGTCGCAGCAAGAACAGAAACGCTTGATGAACGTCTAATAGAAGGAAGGTCAGAACACGCTGGCATAAGCGGGACAGCAGAGACAGGTTGAGATTCAGAAACGCAAGCCATTGTGGTGCCTTTAGGAATGAGAATTGTCTCAGAAGTCTGGTTTGTAGCGTAGAGAAGTCCGGAGCCATTGTGGAATCGCGCTAGACCTGAAGCAAGGGCTATACCTCTTGCGAGACAGCGTGCAGATGGTTGGACAAACACGTCACCAGAGTCGATCATATTAGAAGTGATGGCAACTATCCGCTGATGACCAGGTGGTAGCTCGGTCTCTTCAGCAGCGAGCAAGTGAACGAGCTTGTCATCCGCATACAGGGCATAGTCAGTTTCCATCATATGAACAACATTTTCTCGACAGCAGATGGAAGCGTTCGCCGTAGACAGAAAATCCCAGCCTAATATAATCTGGTGGGCACACGAATTCAGCACAGCAAATTGTACAAAATGAAGAATACCAGCTATGAAAACACAAGCGGTGCACATAGCGGCACGTCTAATGGCGTCCCCTTGAGCAGCGTGCAGTGTAGGTCCATCATAAGGGGTGGTGACTTTTCCTAGACATGAGCACAAAGAATGATCAATCACAGACAAAGAAGCACCAGTGTCTATTAAAGCGTCCACGTACACACCTTCTATTAAAACAGCTATCGTATTATATGGACGCACTGGAGGAATTTCTGTCTTTTCGTTCGATGCAGCT